TTTCTTCAAAGAGAAAATTCATGCTTGCACACATGCACACACACACATACCAGAGCACATAAGCATTCTCATATGCATACATCCCATACATATTAAGGGTCTGGCACAGAAACACTCAATGCATGGCTGCTATTATTTTTCTGCACAAACATAAACATAGGCAACATGAATATAGTTTTGCATAGCATCCCCAACTGTACGCACATAGACTAAAACACAAAATCACATTTGAGTGCTTAGACTATATGACAGATCCTATGCTCAGAGCATGCTGTGCTTGATCTTGAATCCTTACCCCAATCCAAGGAGATGTGAACTGCTTTGAATTCCCACTTTACCAATGGGGAAACTAAGACTTGGATTATCTGCTCACTTCACACAGCTGGTCACTGGCAGAACCACTTTGTGGAACTGTGTGTGTCTGTGTGTCTATGTGCGTGTGCATTTATGGACACAGATAACATGGAGATGTGTGCTAACCTCTCCTCAAGTCAGCATGTACATAAACACATTTGTGTACACAGATGCTCACATGCATACGTATGTAGGATTCTTTGCCTTCCTCTCTGTGGGATGTCAGGTCCTTCCTGAGAGGGGGCTTGAGGATTTATTGATCTTTGGCTAACACACTCCTGGTCACCACCTGCTGCTTCCACTTTGTGTCTTGGCCAGACCCAGGCCTGAAAGCAGAAGCCAGGCTCCCATCCTGACATAGCCACTGCCAGTATCCCTCCTAAAGGTCAGAGCTCTGCCCGCCCCAGCACTGCCTCCAGGTGATCAAATGGTGCTCAGCTTGGGGTGGAACAGCCAGCCCTGCCCAGAGTCGTCCAGACAGCAGTTTGAAGTCTGTTGGGATCACCTTTCCCCACTGGGACCTTCAAGGAGAGAGATGGGAAAGATGGGAAGAAACTGAATGTGGCTGGAGGAGGGAATTGGAAGCCTGGAAGTTCTCTCTCTCTCTCTCTCTCTCTCTCTCTCTCTCTCTCTCTCACTCACACACACACACACACACACACACACACACACACACACACACACACCCCGAAGGAGGGAGGAAGGGAGGGAGGTCATCCCCCTCTTATACCCTTCTCCCTCCACAGGGGCAGTCCATCTACCTCCCTACTTCTAACAGACTACAGAGATTCTCTAACTCTTTAATCAGCACCGGAATCACAGGGTAGTTCTCAAAATGCTCCCCATCTCCAGAGGTTCCAGTCTGGCAGATCTGGGATGGGCCCTGGAATCTGCATTTTAGTAGGCCCCCTGGGTGGTTCTGATGAAGGAGTCCATAGACCACACTAAGAAGCACCAGTCTAAAGTAGAAGAGGTTTTCAGGAAACATAGGACCACCCAGCCTGACCCAGCTGCAGAGACAACCTGTGGGGAGTTGATGATTGAGTTCTGTGATGATCAAAGTCTCCACTGTGGTTTCTGCAGGGCTAGGAACCTTTGCTTTACTCTGTGAGCTTGGACCCTGGCCCTGGCCCCAGAGCCATTGTTCACAAGACAGATTCAACGAGGGGGATGCAGTGCATCCATTGTGGGACAAACAACAAACGTGGCTCTCTGGCCACAGCACACGTCGCCAGGGAGGGAGTTAGAACTCTGGACACTAGGGCAGGGCCCGAAGTGACTGGAGGCATGTCCTCCTGCGGTTGCTGTATGAGGGCAACATCAAGTCACAGTCTGTTCTCATGGGAGCGCATTCCGTAACTCAGGAATTTAGGGTGATTTCCTGCATTGAGGAGTATAACGTCTCCTTTAGAAGCTCCTACAAACAGGGTGCAGACCTGTCCCTGCCCAGAGGCAGAGGTGTGAACAGTAGCCCTCTGAGATTCTTCTCAGATGTGTTTTCCCATGTCCTGTGGCCACCCTCCCTCTCCATGAAGGTGCCATGGCCAACTTGGAGGAGGGAGCCTCAGTAGCCTGCTGTAATATCAGTCAACATCCCCCTAGTGAAGCCCTCCAAATTTTTAATTCAAATCTAATTTGAATTAAAAGAGCCCATGGGTTCTGCAAACATAACTTCAAACCTGGTCCTCTGGACTAACCTCTTTCAACAAATTGCCAGGCCTCAGCCCCTCCTATGCAGAAAATCTGTCCCAATTCCATTCCTCCATCCCGCCCCATGTGGCGAGCAGAGTCGGGTGGAATAATGAGAAAATCACCAGGTAGGTGTTGGAAATTGCTGCCCAGGGTGGACTCTAAGTTCCTCTGCTAACCCTCTTTCTCTGGAGACTGAGACGGGTCTGCTATGGGAAGGCAGACTAGGGGCCATCATGCCTGGGGACTGCCCCCTCCACCAGCATCTTCAAGCCAGCACTTCCCTCTTCTCTCCACCCTTCACCTCCTATCTCTTAGCAGGGGAGCAGGACCCTGAGGGGCCCTCCAAGGACAGGAGCACAACAGGAATCTGGGTGTGAGCCTGGCTTTGAGCTGGTGACTACCTGCAGCATCCAGGCCCAGATTCCCATATTTGCCCTCCAGGGTCCTCAGGATTTCCCCCTCACCAACAAGCTCCCATCTAGTCCTCTTTTCTCTTAACTTCTAGCCTCTTATCCCCCTAAGGTGTAGCTCCCTCATTTCTTAGTCTCTGCAACCACCATCTTGCCTGGGAAGTGATCACCCCTCCCCAGGTCTTTGGAAAAGCATCCACCTATCCTGGACATTTCCTGGAAATTAGAGTTCCCCAACCTAATTGCAGACTTGGGAGGGCCTAGGGACCAGGGTTTACCTGGGCAGCCCGAGAGGAAGTGGACTCTTCCCTCAGTTTTACCTCTCAGGAAAGCGGGGTGGGAACAGGCTTCCTGCCTGAGACCCACAGGAGATGACCTAGTGGCTTGCTCCCATCTGCTCCTTGAGCTGGCACCCACAGGGGCATGCTTGGAGGCCTGGCCCACCCTTGTGTTATCTTCCACTCCCTCTAATATACACTTCCCCACCTGTACCCACATGTGCCTGCGCATACTTGTGTGCACACAGGTAGACACAGGCACACAGGCACAGTCTTGGCCAGTCCTTAGCCCATGAGCTCTTAACAGCCCTAGGCTAATCCTTTGGGCCCTCTCTAGAACTCTCTGTGACCCCACTTTCTTCTTTCCTCCTCTCCAACCTGGCTGCAGTATTCTTATGAAGGGATGGAGATCAACAACCTGCCCGTGGAGTTGACAGTCGTGTGGAATGGGCATTTCAACATTGACAACCCAGCTCAGAATAAAGGTGTGGAAGGGCTGGGGCCTGGCAGGGGAGGGAGGGGAAGGGACAGGGTAGAGAGGGAAGGAGCCGCCCTGCATTCTCGCAGGTGTCATTCTGCCCCTGCCTCCTGGTGGCTGTCCCTGTCCCTCTGAGCCCCTCCCTCACAGCCTCTCCACCATCTGTGCTTCTCTGTTACTTCTTGAGCATGGGCTCTGTACAGCTTGACCTGGGCTGGTGGCTTCTGGGAGGAGGTGGCGTGCAAAGGACTTCCTGGGAAGGGCTGCTGAGTGCTGAGTGAACAGAGTTCCCAGAGCTTCCCATTTCAGTCCCTCTGCTCTGGCCTGGACTTTCTTTCTGGTTCTTTTTTGCATCAGAATGGCTAA